AGGAGTAGTAGTTAGTAGTCAGTGTAGTGTAGTAGTAGTAGTAGTTGTTCTAGTAGTCTAGTAGTAGAGTGTAGAGTCGTAGTAGTAGTAGTAGTAGTCCAGTTAGTTGTAGTAAAAGTAAGTAGAGCAGTGGTATAGTAGGAGCAGTAGTAGTAGTTAATAGGAGTAGAAATAGTAGTAGTAGCAGTGGTGGTTAGGTAGTAGTAGTAGTAGTGGTGGTGGGTGGGCGTAGTAGTAGTAGTAGTAGTAGTAGTAGTTAGTTAGTAGTAGTAGTAGTAGCAGTAGTAGTAGTTCTAGTAGTAGCAGTAGTAGGAGTAGTAGCAGTAGCAGTAGTAGTAGTAGTAGTAGTTATAGTTGTAATAGTAGGAGTAGTAGTAGTAGTAGTAGTAGTAGTAGTAGAAGTAGTGGTAGTAGTTAGTAGTAGTAGTAGTAGTAGTAGTAGTAGGTGTGTAGTGGTAATAGTAGTAGTAGTGGTGGTAGTAGTAGTAGTAGTAGTAGTAGTAGTAGTAGTGGTAGTGGTAGCCAGTAGTAGTAGTAGTAGTTTAGTAGTAGTAGTAGTAGTAGTAGTAGTAGTAGGTAGTAGTTTAGAGTAGTAGTAGTAGTAGTTAGTAGTAGTAGTAGTTGTTCTAGTAGTTCTAGTAGTGTAGTTAGTAGTAGTAGTGTAGTAGTAGTAGTAGTTCCAGTAGTAGTTAGTGTGAGTAAAGTTAGTCTAGTAGAAGTAGTGAGAAGAAGTAGTAATAGTACGTAGTAGTAGTAGCAAGTGGTCTGGGTAGTTAGTACGTATAGTAGTAGTGGTGGTGGTAGTAGTAGTAGTAGTAGTAGTAGTAGTAGTAGTAGTTAGTAGTAGTAGTTCAGTAGCAGAGTAGTAGTTCTAGTAGTGCAGAGAGTAAGTAAGTAGTAGGAGGTAGTAGCTAGTAGAGTAGTAGTATTAGTAGTATAGTTGTTAGTTGTAATAGTAGGAAGGGTTAGTAGTAGTAGTAGTAAGTAGTAAGTGAGTAGTAGTAGAAGTAGTGTGGTAGTAGTAGTAGTAGTAGGTAGTAGTAGTAGTAGTAGGAGGGGCAGCGTAGGAGAGGAGGATAGGGAGGTCGGAGGGGAGAAGTGAGTAGGAGGAGAGGCGGGGTTCAGAGGTGGAGGCAGGAGCTAGTAGTAGTAGTGGTGGTAGTAGTAGTAGTTAGTAGTAGTAGTAGTATCCAGTAGAGTAGGTAGGAGTATCGTAGTAGTAAGTAGTGGGGTAGGAGTAGAAAGAGGAGGTGGAGTAGGAGGAGGTAGGAGGAGTAGGAAGGTAGTAGTAGTGAGTAGTAGGAGTAGTGTAGAGGGAAGAAGAAGACAGTAGGAGGAGCGAACTAGAGACGCGTAGGCTAAGATTAATATCCGCACTCTACCTACTCCTCTATCTACTCATCTCTCTCCTTCTATCTCTCCTCTCCTCTCCTCTCCTCTCCTAATATATTCCATTATAGAGTAGTAGTAGCTGACCCTCCTCTTTTCTCTCTTCCTGCTGTTCCCTCTGTCAGGCCCACAATGTCTCTGCTCCCCCCATCCTCTGAGCAGCTCTCTGGGGGCTCGGCCACACTGGCCTGACTGCTGAGCGGCTACTCCCCCCAGGGGGCGATGGTGAGCTGGTAGGTGAACGGGAGGATGTGACGGAGGGGGTCCTGACCACCACAGAAGAAGAGAAGGGTGGCCTCTACAGCCACAGTAGCACCTTGACCCTGAGCAAGGCACTCTGGGTAGTGGGAGAGGTGTACACCTGCAGGGTCACCCACTACGACACCAGTGATTCAGCCGCCTTCCGGAGAAGTCACTTTAGTGTCTAGAAGCCATTGTAGGGAGCTAGAGAGTCCCCACATGGTGCTAGTTCTGGAAACATTAGTGTTTTAGAGCTGAATGTTAAAGTATAATAGTGAATAATATCAGTAGTGCTGAGTGCTAAATGAACTATTTTGAGATTAAGTTGTGCATGTCATCTTGCCTCTGAGTTCAAATAAAGCTTGTTTTGATTTAAATATAACCCCAAGAGTTGATTTAATCATGATTCCAGTGATCACTGACTCATGAATAGGCAGCACATTTCATACTAATTTAGATCAATCAGCTTCTTCCATTATTTCAGCATTGTAACATATAGCTACTCTCATGTTTTGTAACAGAATTTAAAGGGCATCTGATCCACAAATACTCTGCAATCATTTCTACAACTGAATGATCCTGTTATACTGTAGCATCAATACCAGTGATGATAATGAGTGATATTTGATAATAATCCTCTAACATCTGCTCTCAGAACTCACACTGCTAAACAGTTACTTTCCATAACGTATGTCTATTTACAATGTTTAATTCTTAATGTGATTTTATTAAATTAGATCTTTTAGCAACGGTTTTCAACAATGTGTAGTCTAAACTTCTCCATTATATTTCCCCAGATCTTCTCTACCTCCAACCCCCTGGGATCAGAGTGAACATTTGGTGACAGTGCTGCTCTATTTTGGGACAAGCAGAACCACCCAGCCCTGTCTATGCAAATCTCAGTTTCACTCCCACATATATCAGTCTAGCAGTTGAACAGTTTCACTGTCTGAAATACCCTGGACTGGGCCAGATATTAGGGACTGTCTGGTTTTAACCTCTATGGTGGATGCAGGAAGGGAGACATAACAGATATGCCATAATGTAATTAATGACAGATAAAATTAGTATTATACTTTAGTGTATGTGAATAGTATACATGTGACTCATGGTTGAGTCCAGCATCAGGTCTCATTCACAGGTCTAGCAGTCAGTAACCTACTCATGACAAAAAGTTAATATTTTGCTATAGAGTAATACTTCCATTTAAATCAGATATTTGGTTGTGAGGTCCATATGAGGACTTTTTGGGGGGGCTGAAGAGATTGTAACTTTTACGTAATGTTGAGGTCATAACATATTTTGTTTGGCTTCACATGTGGACTGGTAATAGCTCCCATTTGACCTGTGTACCTACATTGTCCAGCAGACAAATATCAACTATCGTCTACACATGACTGTATCTTGTTGACTATGTCTAAGGCTGTACAGAGCTGGGTAAAAAAAGTGGGGGGCAGTCAATGTTTTCACCCCTAGATGCAGCACATCTCCCCAAATAATTATTGCCTTCTCAATGTGTAAATGTATGGTTTTAAACTGTAGTGCTTTGTGTTTTATGTTGTAAATTGTGTGTAAAGCTTTGTGTGCTGCTATTTTGGCCAGGCCTCTCTTATAAAATAGATATTTAATCTCAATGAGACTAACCTGGGAAAATAAAGGTAAAATATATACATAAAAATATGTTTCAAAATATCTAACTTTTTTAGGTGAACTTTCACATCATATCAAATATAATGAGGTACATGATGATGATGATGATGATGATGGGTGTCACGCCCTGGCTCTAGGGACTCTTTTATGTTGAGCCAGGGTGTGTAGTGTCTATGTGTTGTGTTCTATGTTCACGATCTAGTTTATGTGTTTCTATGTTGGCCGGGGTGGTTCTCAATCAGAGGCAACGTGAATCAGCTGTTGCTTGTTGTCTCTGATTGGGAACCATATTTAGGCAGCCTATTGTGCAATTGTCTTTTGTGGGATCTTGTTCCGTGTAGGTTTGTGTATGTTACCGAGGACTTCACGTATCGTTTTGTTGATTTTGTGTTTGTGTTGAATTATAATAAAGTATGTACTCATATCACGCTGCGCCTTGGTCCGCTCCTTTTGACGATCGTGACAATGGGAAACATGGGATCTGAATGATGCTTTCCAAACATATTCAAAGTTGACTTCACTAACCAGTGTTCCATGTCACTGTCTCTTCCCCCTCAGTACCTGCAGTAGGTCCCAGCTGTAGCAGTACAGTCACTGTACAGTCTGACTGAGGGAGGTTTTTGTACGGCTCTGTATCACTGTGTGAACACCCAGACACTATTGGGATAGTGTAAACTCTGACAGTAGTAATCTCCTGCATCTTCAGCCTGGACTCCACTGATGGTCAGAGTGAAGTCACTCCCAGATCCACTGCCACTGAATCTAGGAGTCCCAGAATGGAGTTTGTTCCCTGGGAGCATAATGAGTTTGGGTTTTTCTCCAGGTTTCTGTTGGTACCAGGTTAGACACTGATGGCCCCCTGACTGACCAATGTAACAATCTCCATGCACATTACTGCTGGTTTTACAGTTCAGAGAGACTGTCTGTTCTGGGAGAACAGCTTTCACTGCAGGAGTCTGAGTCACAGTGTACTGTCCTCTGGATTCTGAAACATAGAAACACTAATAATTATACATCACCAGGAATTAATAAAACATTCTTAACAATCTTTCAGTTCACTCAAATTGTTTACTTTTCATTATACAAACACATAATTCCTTTTTTTTACCCTTGATGTAGAAGGCAAATATCCAGATGAAGATGGTGATAAAAGTCATGGTTGTTGTGGGTTCTGTTGTCATGAAGGACAGCTCTCAGTCATGAAGTGTTAAACTCACAGGGATATAAACACTCCCAGAGCACTGAAGCATGTGCTGTCAATGCAAAGTTTAACATTTAAATAATATTCCTGGTAAGGACCCACATTCTTAAATGTTAACTATGATACAGATTTTTCAGACAATTGTATCATGTTTTGAATAACTAAAATAAAAATAAACAATAAATACCTTATATTGTAAATGAAGATAAAAACTGAATTATCTGCATTCTTCAGTGGATTATAGTCATAACCCAGGACTATGAGTCCCTATTGTATTATACTCATAACCCAGTACTATCAGTCCCTATTGTATTATACTCATAACCCAGTACTATCAGTCCCTATTGTATTATACTCATAACCCAGTACTATCAATCCCTTTTGTATTACACTAGTACTTCAATACTATCTGTCCCTATTGTATTATACTAGTAATTCAGTACTATCAGCCCCTATTGTATTATACTAGTACTTCAGTACTATCAGTCCCTATTGTATTATTCTAGTACTTCACTACTGTCAGTCCATATTGTATTATACTAGTACTTCAGTACTATCAGTCCCTATTGTATTATACTAGTACTTCAGTACTATCATTCCCTATTGTATTATACTTGTACTTCAGTACTGTCAGGGTGGTACTGAGAGTGTTTTGTGCATGAAGGTGCTCACTCTTGTGTGAAGGAGGTTTTGTATGGAGACTTTACCAGAATGAATCACTGTGGTGGACTTTTGGAAGCGGAACAAAACTGGTGCTGAAAAGTAAGTCATTTTTTGTCTTTCTCTCATAAAACTAAATGTAATCATGCTATTGAACAGCGTTATGAGATGTTATCATCTTCTCCGGAGGAAAGACCTTTAGGCTATATCTATTTAGAGATTTCTGTGGACAGATTGGTAGATTGGTAGAGGGCAGAGTCACCGAAGTGAGAGAATTGTTCACATACCGCCAAGTTTATTTGGTATAAAACCATAAGTATTCTAACATTTTGTGATGAGGTGTGATTGAGTCAGGCGCAGGAGGTAAAATCACTGAATACAGAGTTTATTCAGTCGTACATACTAATAGCGCAGGAATGCAACAAATGAATAAGCACAGGGGAAAATCTACCCTGGCGAAATACATGACAAGAGTTGCTCAACCGAGCTTTTATATTAAATGATACTGTATCCATTATTTTAGAACAGTGTTTCATTGTTCTTGTTTGATCTCTGTACTGTAGCTAGTTGTTTATCCTGTGTGTGTTGTTGATCTGAAATTGTTTTGTTCACTGATAACACAGTCTTTTCTCCCCTCTACTCTCCTAATGTTATAGAGTAGTAGTAGTAGTAGTAGTAGTAGTAGTAGTAGTAGTAGTAGTAGTAGTAGTAGTAGTAGTAGTAGTAGTAGTAGTAATAGTAGTAGTAGTGGTAGCTGACCCTCTCCTCTCCTCTCCTCTCCTCTCCTCTCCTCTCCTCTCCTCTCCTCTCCTCTCCTCTCCTCTCCTCTCCTCTCCTCTCCTAAAATATTCCACTATAGAGTAGTTGTAGCTGACTGTCCTCTCTCCTCTCTCTTCTCTCCTCCAGCTGGTTCCTCTGTCAGGCCCACAGTGTCTCTGCCCACCCCATCCTCTGAGCAGCTCTCCGGGGGCTCGGCCACACTGGCCTGCCTGCTGAGCTGCTACTCCCTCCAGGGGGCGATGGTGAGCTGGGAGGTAGATGGGTTGATTTAATCATGATTCCAGTGATCACTATCTCATGAATAGGCAGCACATTTCATACTAATTTAGATCAATCAGCTTCTTCCATTATTTCAGCATTGTAGCATATAGCTACTCTCATGTTTTGTAACAGAATTTAAAGGGCATCTGATCCACAAATACTCTGCAATAATTTCTACAACTGAATGATCCTGTTATACTGTAGCATCAATACCAGTGATGATAATTAGTGATATTTGATAATAAACCTCTAAGATCTGCTCTCAGAACTCACACTGCTAAATAGTTACTTTCCATTACATACTGTACATATTTATCATGTTTAATTCCTAAGATGATTTCATTAAATTAGATGTTTTAGTAATGGTTTTCAACAATGTGTGGTCTAAACTTTTCCATTATATTCCCCCAAGTCTTCTCTACCTCCAACCCCATGGGGACAGAGTGAACATCTGGTGACAGTGCTGCTCTATTTTGGGACAAACTGAACCACCCAGCCCTGTCTATGTAAATCTTAGTTTCCCTCCCACAGCTACCAGTATAGCAGTTGAACAGTTTCACGGCCTGAAACACCCTGGACTGGGCCAGATGTGAGGGAGTGAACTGGTTTTAACCTCTATGGTGGATTCAAAGAGGGAGAAACAATAGATACAGTATACAGTCATGTAATTAATGGCAGATAAAATAGACATGTTACTTTACGTAGATAGTGTATGTAGTGTACGTATGCCTATGGCTCTAGTTAGACCTTTTCGCTCATGTGCGCTTTAATTAGAATGGATTTATTTCGAAGTGCTTTAATATTTATTTATTCCTATTGTGTGTTGTGTTTTGGTTGATTTCTTATTTACTTATTTGATTGACTTCCTTTGAATTGGTTAACACCTTTTGAGTGCTCTTCTTGTTGAGTGAATGAGGGAATGAGTGTGTTAGTTAGGGACCTGAGCCACGACCCCCACACTTGAGGAGTATTGGGGTTAATGAACTGCCCATGTACAAAGGCAGCTCTCAGACAGTGTTCAGGAGATTCAAGCAAGCAACGGGAGAGGACAGGTGCCACAGGCTGTGCTCAGCCACACCACTACCACTGCTGCATCTGGGGAGAGGAGACCGGATGAGTGTGACTCTGCTCGGGAAGAGCCGAACGGAACGACCCTACTTGGGATGAAGAGCCGAACGACGTGTGAGTGAGTACCAATGGTTTCCAGTATGATGACGTTACTGATTAAGCTTTCTCTGCCCTCCAGACATGGCCTGCTACAACAAGACCGCTGAGGCCACGACTACCGCATCGGAATCCCATGATGTCAACGCTGAAGTTACGAATGCTCCATGACTAACAACTATGGACTCTAGCGTGTAGGCCTATGTGGTGGCCGGGCCTGTCCTTGTGTTTTGTTCTGTGTTGCTTTTATCCTGCAACCCCCTTTTTAATACTGAGAAAATATATTAAAGAGCAATTAACACTGTCTGTATGTAGTTTTGGGATTGAAAGAACTTTGGTTTTTGACATACAAGTGTCTCATGTATGTCTCATTCACAGATCTAACGGTCAGTAACCTGCACATCAAAATAGTTAATATAATGCTAGATGATCACATCAATATTTGATTGTGAGGTGCATATGGGAACTTGTAATACAGGGCTGAAATTAAGAAATATATATGTAATATCACATTTTGTACACTCTTATGGAGTACTGGTATTGTGGAATTATGACTGGTATTGTTTTAAAATCTTCAAATAACTTTTATATGAACTTTCAGGTCCTGGAAAATATAACCAGTCACAACCACAGAGATCGTATTATATAAAAAATATAAACGTAACATGCAACAATTTAAACGATTTTACTGAGTTACAGTTGTAGTATCTGAAAGTCTATGATTTTGCTGATGTTTGCAAATGGTGTGTTAGAGGAACTTGGCTCTGCTTGCGGAAACATCTGGAAAACATTACTATAGGGGCCCCCTAAAACAGAGGAGAGTCTGCTATGTAGAGGCCAGGGATTGGTCTATTAAAATCACGCCATATTATGTTACATAGGATATAAATACCATGTTATGAACAAAGGACGTAGAGAATAACATATTAGAGATTGGGTTAGTTGTTCTCCAGATTTCTGCAGGAGTCTGTAAATTGATACTGTAATTTTTTTTATTATTATTATTTATTTATTTTGTTGTCAATTTTTATTTATTCTTTTTATATTTTTTGAATGTCTTTTTTATTTTTTTTATTTTTTTTGGGGGGGGATGGATCAGCTTAATATTGCAGATAGATTGTATCTTCTATCAATGTAATTGTCTGCATCACTTCCAATCCCCCATGTTTTTTATATATATACTCCCCTTTATTACTTTTCAAACCCGCTATCCTTTCCCTACTTGGAGTAAATTAGTGAACAACAATGCCCAGGCCTCTACTTCCGATCTATACTTACTATCTACACCTTATGGACAGAGTTAATTTTACAATAATTATATTATATATATTTTTTTTGCTCCTGAACTTCTTCTACTCTCAACCTCTCCGATCATTTTCATGATGTCCATCCGGTTTGCTTCTATATGCCATATCTTTCGAACTGTGCTCTTTCCCAAAAGCTCCCAACATACAAACTATATACTTATTATGAACACAGTATGCTTACATTATTAGCTATCTTTGTTATTATTTGTTGTTATTTGTTATTAGTCCCCTCCTTCAACTCTATTCAATACCTCCCATCTATCTCTTAACACCATCCATATAGGATTTCTATTTGCCATATATATTTCAACCGTACTGTGATGTTTACAAAAGTTCTGAACCTTTCTATTCTCATTGCTTCTACATATTGTGAATTAAAAATAATTTGTTTTGCTAAAAGTATTATTATATTATTGATTGATTGACTATGACTTTTCAGATCACCCAGTAATGCTATCTGCAAGGTTAGCTCAAGGTAAATATTGCAATCCTTTAGCCATTCCTGGACCTGTGTCCAAAAACAAGCTACAAATGGACAGAACCAAAACAAATGATCTAATGATTCTGTCTCTTCACAGCAAAATCTGCAGAGCTGGGAAGATTGTATCCCCCATATAAATAACATTCTATTGGTAGCAAGAATTTTATATAATAATTTTAATTGAAAGAATCTAATTTTTGAATCCGGTGTCGTTTTGCGTGTCAGTTCATAAACACTATGCCATGGGATCGGTACGTCAAAGATCTCTTCCCAACTATTTTGCAATCTATATGGGACGGCTGTCAATCCTTTGGTCCTTAAGTGAAACTGATATACTTTTTTTATTTATCACAGTTTTCCTTAACCAATTATGTTCTTTAATGCAAGGCCGACAGACAAGTTCCTTACTTTCTCCCCCTTCCACTTTCCTCTTCCACTTTTGCGGTAAGGCTGCAATTATTTGGTTTTAATTTTGGGTAGAGCAGACATTTCCATATGTTTTTGTTAGCTGCATGTGCGACATAACTCCACCAGTCCTACCGATGATATCATTTACGAAGATTATACATTTTTTAAACATTCTGTCAAAAAATTATGGTTTTTTTGTCAATTAGTATATTTGAATTTAACCACAATATTTGTTGCATTATTTGTTCTGTCGTTTCTGGAGGATTAAATTGAAATTGCAACCAACTTTCTATGGCTTGTTTTAGAAATAGTGATATTTGGGAGATTATTTCCTTTTCAAATAACTGCAAATGAGTTGTTGTAATATGAATAAAGTGAAAAAGGCCTTTCTTGAACATTGGGTGAGACAATCTTACTAATTTGCTTGAGAACCAGTTCGGGTTTAAGTATAACTTTTGTATGACTGATGCTTTTAGTGATAGGTCTAATGCTTTAATATTTAATAATTTATGTCCTCCGAATTCATATTCATTATAAAAATATGCCCTTTTAATTTTGTCTGGCTTGCCGTTCCAAATAAAATTGAATATTTTTTTCTCATATAATTTAAAAAACTGTTCGCTAGGCGTAGGCAAGACCATAAGCAAATAGGTAAACTGGGATAATACTAAAGAGTTAATCAGGGTGATTTTTCCACAAATTGACAGGTGTTTTCCTTTCCATGGTAGTAAGATCTTATCTATTTTTGCTAACTTTCTATTAAAATGTATTGAAGTGAGATCATTTATTTCCTTTGGGATATGTATTCCGAGTATATCCACATCACCATCAGACCATTTTATTGGTAAAATTGTATTTTTTAGTGATCCACTACGTAATATAGTACATTTGTCATAATTTGGTTGTAATCCAGAGAGGTTAGAAAATGTATCTATATCCTCTATGAGGCTGTGGAGGGATTCTAGTTGTGGATTTAAAAGAAAACATGAATCATCAGCGTACAATGACACCTTTGTTTTTAAGCCCTGTAATTCTAATCCTCTGATATTATAATTGGATCTGATTTTAATAGCTAACATCTCGATGGCCACAATAAATAGATATGCCGATAGTGGACAACCTTGTTTCACTCCTCTTGACAGTTTAAAACTTTCTGAGAAATAGCCATTATTTACTATTTTACACCTAGGGTTACTATACATGATTCTGACCCATTTTATAAGAGATTCTCCAAAATTGAAATGCTCCAGGCATTTATATATAAACCCCAGTCGAATTTTATCAAATGCCTTTTCGAAGTCTGCTATGAATAGCAGGCCTGGTTTCCCATATTTTCCATAGTGTTCTATTGTTTCCAATACTTGCCTTATATTATCTCCAATGTACAGTATCTTCCATGTAAAAAACCTGTCTGATTAGAATGAATAATATCCGACAATACCTTTTTAATTCTATGCGCTATACATTTTGCTAGGATTTTTGCATCACAACACTGAAGTGTAAGGGGCCTCCAATTTTGTAAATGGACTGGATCTTTATATTTTCCACTTGTATCCTGTTTCAGTAATAATGAGATCAGACCTTCTTCTTGAGTGTCAGATAATCTACCATTTACATAGGAGTGGTTAAAACATACTAATAACGGTCCTCTTAGTATATCAAAAAAGGTTTGGTATACCTCGACTGGTATGCCATCCAACCCTGGAGTTTTCCCAGACTTAAAGTCTTTAATTGCATCCTGAAGTTCCTCCTCTGTAATTTCACCTTCACATGAGTCTTTCTGTGTGGCTGTTCATTTGACATTATCAATAGAAAAAAAATCTCTACAATTAGCTTCAGTTAGAGGAGATGGAGGCGACTGAAAAGAAAACATATGCTTAAAGTTCTTTGTTTCTTCCTTCAAAATATCATTTGGTGAATTATGGGTGACTCCGTCAATTGTAACCAGTTTCATTAAGTTCTTTTTGGTAGCATTCCTATGTTGAAGATTAAAAAAGAATTGTGTGCATTTTTCCCCATATTCCATCCAGTTTGCTTTATTTTTATAATATATTACACTTGATCTTTCTTGAACAAGTTTCTCAATTTCTTTTTGTTTTTCCTCTAATTTATTCTGAGCCTCTATGTTACAGTTTTTATTGCCAACTATCTGTTCTGTTAGACTTTCTATTTCCTTTCTTAGTATAAACTATTTTGACCTAAATTGCTTTTGTTTTCGAGATGAGTACTGAATTGCATGGCCTCTAAAGGCACATTTAAAGGTGTCCCATACAATAAGGGGATTCGCTGTACCTATGTTATGTTGGAAAAAGTCAGTTATAAATTCCTTTGTTCTAATTATAAATAAATTATCATCCAATAGGCTTTGATTACATTTCCAATATCCTCTCCCACGTGGAGTAATGTATATGCCTATTATATGATGGTCCGACCGCATTCTGTCCCCTATCAACACTTTTTTAACTTTTGGTGCCAACGAGAATGAGATAAGAAAGAAGTCAAGACGACTAGCTTGATTGAGTCTCCGCCATGGATATCTCATTAGATCAGTATATTTAAGCCTCCATATATCTACTAATTCTAATGTATCCATGACATTCACAATTTCCTTAAGAGCATGTGGGTGATTGTTTGTGGTGTGATTTCCTTTACGGTCCATTGAGCTATTTAAAACAGTATTATAATCCCCCACCATAACAATAGTGTCTTGAATTGCTTGCAGGCTTGATAATTTATTATATATATTGTCAAAGAATTGTGGATCATCATTATTTGGTCCGTAAAGGTTAATGAGCCATATCTGTTTATGGTCCAATAACAT